AGGGCAGGCAGCCGAGCGGGATCTCGAGCTGGCTCCAGGGCAGGCTCAAGAGCAGGAGAGCTGGGTAAATGACAAAGTGCCAGCTTGTCCCAAGAGTTTAGGAACTCCATTGATGTTGGTAAATCAATAGCAACTCAAGGGTAGCCTTATAAGCAATCAAAGTGTGATTGCTATGTTGGTATATTTTGATTGAGTGATTCAGATTAGGCAAGATACATGATAGGCAGTTACAGGATGTTCAGATGCAGCGGATCATAGAGCAAGTGGTGTATGATGGTGTATGTTCAAGGGCGTTTCGAGGATAGCTGGTGAGGAGTCTAAGGTCAACAACATGCTTAAACACACGGAAGCAGCCTCTTGAGCAAAGAACAAGAAAAACCTCTTGAAGTCTTGCCAGGGGTCCCTTGATGTTCAAGATAGATAAAGATTTGAGTTTGTGGTGCAATTGGACAGGATCACGAGCCGGGAGTCGTTTGTCCAAGCGAAGTGCCAGTGTGGCTGCCAAATCAAGGAAGCAGCAGAAGCAGGAGCACAGCGCACCGCACGTGCAAGTGGGAGCATAAAACAGAGGGGGTCCGAAGGTGTGTTATCTTTGATTGACCTATCCAACAAGAAGAAGCACCTGTAAACTCTCAATATACCTGCTCCTATGCTTCACTGAGGTGTCCATTGAAGGATGACAGTTTCTGGAGCAAGACACTAGCCCAACCAATTTATCATTTCCTTTTTTTCAGTTGTGTACATTGCGGTTATATAAAACTGAACATGCGAGGATGAAGATGACGAAGTGGAGTACGAATTGTTTGCTCACAACTTTGAATCCTTGTGTCGCATTCAGACGATGAAGGCACGACGTGTCATTTTGGCGCAAGGGTCGGTGTGGCAAATGTGCAGGCGCTCAATTCGACTTCAGAACAACAAACTTCTTCAAACATGTGCAATCATTCATCATGAATCTGCTGAAAGATGCCAGAAGTGATCCACACAGTGATGAATTATTGATATATATATATATTTAAGGGCTGCCGCCCCTGCCGCCGACCCCGATTCTCAGGTCCGGCTTTTCCTCCATTGGTTGGCAACACGTCACTAGCACTGCACGCCAGCCTTCTGGAGGGTCAGGCCGGAGGGAACGGGTCGTGGAGCGAAGAGGTCAAGGGGAGTGAAGAAAAAGGTGAGACGTTGCAAAAAGGGGGATTCTAGAGGCTGGGGGGTGAGATTATGTACTTCCGATCGAGCGATGCAAGCGTCCAGGTCTGGAATTGCATAATCTCCGGTTTTTGTCTTTGGGCAAGTTTGGGGTGACCTTCCCGAAAGGAGTAGCGTTTCCAGCACGTCTATCTACTTTCAGCATGGCTATGTCTAACCGGGGGATGTGTGGATGGTTGGGTCTCGCGGTTTGGGGGCGGCTGGACTCGACATTGTTGGTCGTGTGAGGTTTTGTGTTTTTTTCACACAGTCAGTTGTCGAGCTGGAGCTTGCTGGTTGTCGAAGGTCCGTAACACGGAAGTTTGGCATGGTCAACTTCTTGTGATCTCCAATGACTGGGATGTCAAGGGACTGGTGGTGAAGGTCTGTCGTGTCAGCATCGGAAACATGGAGAAAGAGAGAGAGAGAGAGTGAGAGAGAGAGAGAGAGCGAGAGCGACAGCAGTCTGGTGCGATAGTCTCCAGCGGAGAAAGAAGAGTTCATGAGACATAGCTGGGGTCTTGCTAAAGTGTCTGTCAACATGCACCAGTGGGTGCAATTCGTCTAGTTAGGTGTTTCGGCCAAAGACTAGCGTGCTCAGGGCACCACCCACGGGTTAAATGTCCAAGAGGTGACGCAACTGCAATCCAAACACATTGCCGAACCACTTCTAAGGTGGCACTGCCGGCGGGTCGAAATATTGTAATCTCAATGTTCTCTTGTCACGCGAAGTTTCACAACCCCCAAGTGCTGAACTTGGATTTAACCAGGCACCAAAGCTCGGTCGCTTGGTCGTTGTGTGGTGTCTGATGCTTCATTCACCTCAGCAGCAGTCACGTTGCAAAATAGTCAGAACAGTGCCACAAACACATGCCAAGATAACACATGTAGGACATGTGTGTGGGAGGTGAAATGGCAGCATGAGGAAAGATAGCACAGAGCCACTTGACATTTGGGTGCAACTTTTGCGCAAGCAGACGTGTTGTGGCGAACACGTGTACAAGCAGTTCCCGGGCAAGCCGGCGGTGGAAGTTTCGGCAGAAGGTATCTGTTGCTGGAGCTATGTAAAGCTAGAGCACGTTGTTTGGGCGCCCTAAAGCTAGAGCCATTTGTTTCCATTTGTCTCGGTCATCTTGGCCCCGAACACCTGGTCCC